TTTTATTTATACTGGTAGGTACTACTTAGCATCTAGCCAAGGGCCTTCTCTTTTAGAAGGTCCACTGCAGTGAGACTGGGGTAGGGGTGCTCACCCCGGGGACACTGGTGGGGAGCTCACCGGGGACACTGGGGTGGGGGGGCTCCCTGGGGACACTGGCGGTGCCCCCTACAGTTGACATGCTTGTAGTTGAATATGTAAAGGGGTTTTCTGTCATCTGATGGGATTGTTGTAACGACCCGCTCTTTGTACAACAGACTTGAACAGGCACTGCACACAGAGAATCCAAGCAGGGCAATGCCTGTCCCTGGTAAACCTGCTTCCTGTTTTGGTCAGTGACCTGGATGTCCCTTTTCTCCAAGGTGGAGGTACTGCAAGGCCACCGGGTGGTCGACATTGCCTGTGGCAGTGGGGATGCCCAGACACTGTGCCTTACAGACGACGACACCGTGTGGTCCTGGGGTGACGGGGACTATGGCAAGCTCGGCCGGGGCGGCAGCGACGGCTGTAAAGTGCCCATGAAGGTATTTCAGCTCCCGCAGTGGGAAAGGGCACCTTTCCTGGTACACCTGGGACCATGGCGAGGTCTGCAGCTCAGGCCACCGTGTGCAGAGCACTGGCCCTGGCTTACATCCCATCCTGTGTCGCAGCTTCTCAGGAGCAGGCAAACCTCACCTTTACCTTCTTGGCAGGACACGTAATGGGTATTTGGGTAAAAGAGAGTGAAAGGCCTATAGCTGTTAAAATATTTCAGGGCTGCCTATGCTCCTGGGAAGTCACGACCTGGCAGGGTGACATAGAGCCAGTGGCTTCATGTGGTGTAGAAACCTATCTGCAGAAAAGGTGGCGGTGTTCACACTCGTCAGTTTTCAGAGGCTGGAAGGTGGACATCCTGAGACCCCCAGGGTTGGGGGTCAGATTGCTACGCCTCTCTCAAATTGCATGACCCTGGGCAGTTTCTTAACTCAGCAGACTGTCGTTTTGTCTTTTGAATGGGTAGTTGGCAGAGGTTAAGTTCATGGGTTAGTTTAGGCCACGTGCTGACATGTCAGGGCCGTTGAGGTGACGTGACTCGTCGTGGATTTGGGCGTGTGATGCTGTGCAGGACGACTGGAAGCTGTCTGTGCTTGGTGTCCCGACCCTGGTTTCTGGCACTGCAGCTGCAGGACAGAGACCCTCATGGGGCACAGGCATCCCTGGGGACGGCCTGCCCCTCGGCTCAACAGGAGACTGGCTGGAACTGTGTGGCTTTTCTTCCTGGAGCTGCACTGCCCAGTCCAGTGGCTGCTGGCCACACGTGGCTGTTTGAGTTTGAATTTAAATCAAGTAAGAGTAAGATTAGGACTCTCTCCCTCACTGGCACCAGCCACATTTCTCGGGCTTAGGAGCTGCATGTGGCTGGTGGCCTCCGTATTGGGGGTGACAAAGAGAGGGATTGTGGCAGGTGCTGCCCAGAGCCCAGGTTGGGGAGACTCCGCCTGGAGGCCATGCTGCAGCTGGCTGTGGGGGACTGCCTTCTCCACAGGCGTCCCGGGCGGGCACTGCTGGGAGACCGGGGCTCAGGGCTGCGTCCTTGTCCTTGTCTCCTCCTGCTCGTCTTGCCCAACAGGCACAAGGCACTTCACCTCAGCTCAGGGTACTTAGGGGCCCACGCTTACGAAAAAGGAGTTGTGACTTTCTCATGCTCAGGAGACCGGGCAACAAACGCTTCGCACCCTCAGGGACTGGGGCACTGGGGGTGGGGCCCACTTGTAATGTGCCTGTGATGGGGGTGGAGCGAGGAGAAACTACGAGAATTAGGGTTTAATTAATTTAAGTTCAAATGTGAGAACTCCAGTCTGAAAGCAGTCACAGGTCAGAGGAACAAAGCTTCCTGGATGAGGACAGACCATGACTAGTTAAGTGATCCCCCTCAGGCCCCCGAGCATGCAGGGACGCCAGGCATTCCAACACTGGCCCCCCCACAGTCATGTTTAATTGGATTCACCTGGACAGGTGGAGTGGGTATGCCTGAAGGCCAGGCCCTGGGCCTCGTGACTGGGCCTCCCCTGCTCTGTGGGCTTCGGTGTCTGGCAGGCTTGAGGACAGACACATGCAGGGTGTGTGGAAGGGGGGCCACCACATCAGAGAGAAACAGAGCTGGGAGAGTGAATTCTGGGGGAAATGATCACTGACCTTCAATCTGACACGTCCACCTCAGTGACATGACGGGGCACGGGCTGATGGCCACCTTCCAGCACATGTGCCCTCACGGCCTGGTGTTCCTACTGCTCCTGAGAACATTTACTTGGTGGAATGGAGTGGGATTTAAGTTGTAATAAATATTTGAGATGAGTAAGGCTTGCAGAGTTCTCCATTAGATTTATTTCCGTTTCCATGTGGGGGTAGCCATCAGCAGAAACCTCAACTGAGTGAGTCTGATGATTGAACCTTTTCCCCTTGTAGATTGACTCCCTCATGGGCCTCGGCGTGGTGAAGGTGGAATGTGGGTCCCAGTTCTCTGTCGCCCTTACCAAGTCTGGCACTGTTTACACCTGGTACGCAACACTTTAATCCCACCACGGTGATGATTAACCTGAAGTTCACATTATCTGTCCTTTGTAGATTGACATGTGATGTGTTCGGCAGGCCATGATTTGTGTCCTGACTCACGGTGCTTGCACCAGGAGGGTGGGGCAGGGTGGTAGATGACATGGCCTTGAACTCCTGGGTTGCGTGTTTCCTCGTGTGCAGGGGCAAAGGCGACTATCACAGGCTGGGCCATGGATCCGATGACCACGTGAGAAGACCTCGGCAGGTGCAGGGGCTGCAGGGGAAGAAAGTTACTGCCATTGCCACTGGCTCCCTGCACTGTGTGTGCTGCACAGAGGATGGTAGGTGGGGGGCCTTCAGTCCAAGCAGCCTGATCAGGGTGATGGGCGAGCTGGGGGCAGACACACTGCACCCTGGACGCGTGTGCGGTCAGCAGGGTTCTGACCCTGTCATCTTCAGCCCCTGGTGTTAACACCCTGAACATGTTACGTTTCATGGCTGTGCCAAAAAGAGCTAACAGAGTAGGCCCGAGACTGCCGCCCTCACAGCGTCCTGCTTACAGGGTCGGCCCCGGCTGGCACCTGGGACCTGGACTTCGGAAGAGCTCGCTGCATTAGACTGTTGGCACAGACCATGTGGTCTCTGCGGAAACCTGCTTCCTCTGGGCTCTGGAATGTGGGCATGGGCCAAGCAGAGGTGCCCATGTGACCAGCCCCGTGAAAACCCTGGGCACCGAGTCTCTGGTACAGGACACAGCATGTGTTGTCACAACTCGCTGCTGGGGGAGGGAAGTACATCCTGAGGGACCCCCCGGAAGAACTTCTGTCTGGTTTCTCCTGGACGTCACCTGTGTGCCTCTTCCCTTGGCTGATCCTGCTCTGTCCTGTCATTGTAATAAACCATAGTTCTGAGGATGACTGTATGCCACTTCCCGGGAGGTCTAGCAAACCTCGAACCTGAGGGGGTCGTGGGAACCCTGGCACAGTAGAAAAGGGACTTTACAGATGGAATTAAGATCGCTAATCAGTGTCTTTATGACATGGATGCCATTCTGGGTTGTTGGCTGAGCCTCGTGTAATCATAAGACTATTGAAAGCAGAAAAGGAGGCCGCAGATCAGTGAGAGATGTGACAGGGTCTTGACTTATCACCACTGCTTTGAAGGTGGCATGAAGGGTCCAATGAATGTGGTGGCTTCTGGAAGCTGGGGCTTGCTGTTAGCTGACAGCTGGCCAGGAACCAGAACCTCAGTCCTACACAGAACTGAACTCTGCCACAATGGAACTCTGCCTGTTCCCGATTGTCTAGGCCCCAAGTGTAGCTGTGACCATTTCCCAGGGAGCCTGGTGTCTGTTCAGAGGACAGGGCTGTTTGCAAGACGAGACATGGTAGGAGTGTTGGGCTGGACCTGCTCCCAGGCTTCAGTGGGCAGAGCCAAGAAATGTGTGAGTGAATGGCACACAAGTCCCATGTGTCTGTACACGTGTGTTGGGCACCTCTGGTGCACACCAGGGCCCCAAGCTCCATTCTGTACCACACGGTTTCTTCTAACTCTTTCTCCTGCCACACTTGTAACTCCTTTGTCTTACAGTGGGAAACTCGGATCTCATTATCCCTAATGGGATGACCGGTGTCCCATCACTGCCTTGTCTCTGTCCCGTGTAAGCCCTCACCCTACTCAGGCTGCCACTGTGTGGAAGTCCTGGTCACTTATGGACACTGATCCGCTGCCCCTGTCCTTGCTCATGCTGACACCACCCAGTGGCTTTAGGGCTGGACGTGGGGAACAGGGGAAGGGGCAGGACACAACACTGCCCTTGATCACACAGGCGTTGTCGTCCCTGGTGGCCCCATGGCTGCTGGCCCCCGAGGAGTCTGCGTCCCCGGGAACTGAGCTCATCCACCCCCAGAAGAGTGGTGTCTCCTGGTGGGAGCCAGCACGGCATGCTGAAAGAAAGGATCTCATCAGCGATGAATGTCGTGTTTAGGATGTGAATAAGCACAGTTCCTTTACAAACATGGACTTTAGTTTAGTTAAAAACTGACTTTCTGTTAAACATAGAAAACCAGTTTGGGTTGTTAAAGATACTGCCATCTGTTTTAATGCTGTTTGTTCTGGTTAGGAACTGCTTTGGCTTGTGAACAAGCACTGTTGGATTTTGAGACCAGAGAAGGCATGCAGGCTACCAGGGGCTGTCAGGACTCTGAATGTTGTGACCAGAGACCTCTAGGCCACACGTGAGATCAATGTCCACACAGCCAGCACCTAGCGGAAGGGCAGTGATGACTGTTTGTGATGGAAGGTGGTGGTGCTTATGCAGTCATTGGTCCTTATATACAATTTCTTGTTCTAAATTCACTCCATTTAGGTGAAGTTTATACATGGGGCGACAATGATGAAGGACAGCTGGGAGACGGAACAACAAATGCCATCCAGAGGCCCCGGTTGGTAGCCGCCCTGCAGGGTAAGAAGGTCAACCGAGTGGCCTGTGGCTCAGCACACACTCTCGCCTGGTCGACCAGCAAGCCTGCCAGTGCCGGGAAGCTGCCCATGCAGGTCGGTCCTGGGGGCCCCAGGGTGCTGCGTGCAGGGTGCAGGTCGTCCCAGTTACTGTTGTGTATTGAGTTGTGTGGGTCACGCAACACCTGACTCTTCCATTAGGTATTTACAGAGGTGTCCATTACCCAACAGTGTATGTAGATCAGTGTGTCACCTTCATTCAAATCTTAGGAACTGTGCAAAGCATCCTGGTCCAGACCACACACACCGTTTAGTAAACGTCTATCTTAGACTAGTGGTCTGCGTACTTGGTGAAGTGTCCTGAGTGCTCTTACGACGGCAAGGCTTTTCACAGAGAGCGCAGGCGTCATGCTGGTCTGTGTTCGGGAGAGCTGTTTTCAAAGCCCGTGTGGGATGCCGGCTCACCTGTGCCCTTGGCCCTGGGATCTCAGTGCGGCCTTGTTTCAGGTCCCCATGGAGTACAACCACCTGCAGGACACCCCGGTGGTGGCCCTACGGAACCGGCTATTGCTGCTGCACCACGTCTCTGAGCTCTTCTGCCCCTGCATCCCCATGTTTGACCTGGAGGGCGCCCTGGACGATGCAGGGCTCGGGCCGTCCGTGGGCTTCCACGCTCTGCGCGGGATCCTGATATCGCAGGGGAAGGTACTCGTACTCGCAGCAGCGTGTGGACACCCGGGTGTCTCTGCAACATTGTAGTCCTGCCAGAGCCCAGAACAGGAGCATAGAGGCACATGTGCTGGGCGCACCCCCGTCTCCTCTCCTCCGTAGCTTACGTTTGTTGCTGCCTTTCCCATCGCATTGTCTGCCTGTCACCTCCCCAGGTGGTCTGGGGGTGCGCAGAGCTAAGCCCCTGTCTGGTAAGGCCCATGCTTGCCTGGCCTTGAGGCTTTCTGGCAGAGCCCACTGGCAGCAGGAAGGAGGATGGCGAGCTCACGTGGCCCCCCTGCCCCCCTGCCCCCCCCCCCATGGCCATAGCAGTCCCATACTGTGGTATAGACCCTCAGTTAATGGCCAGTTTCACACAGTGAACAGACTCATGAAGGAGGTGCCTGAATGTCACCACACAGGTTCCAGCCCATTGATGTTTGTAATAACTTGAGCTTTCTGGGAATGGAGTGCCCAACTCGGGAGGTGGGGTTCCCGTTCCTGGAAGTCATCGAGTTTCCAGCAGACAGATGACAGGATGTCCTGGGAAAGGCTCAGTCACTGGTGGCAGAGTATCCGTGAGGGAAAAGGCTAGTGGTTGGATTGAGGAACCTTAATCCCGAGTGGGATTCTGTGACATGTGCAATCTCTCCTTCATGAAGTAAAACGTAGGTGTTTGGAGTCCCGTCCGAACAGGTTTTGTAGGATTGGCGGTTTCCACCCAGCTAGTGCGGACTGCACACTTTATTTTCTCGTGACTTAGAGACATGGGGACAGCAATAGGATTGCAGTGACAGTGAGAGCTTGCTGACGATGGGGAGCAGGAAAAAGTGGACACGTGGAATTAATACGAAAAACAAGTAGTACATTTGATTACTTTGAGCGTTTTTTCCCCTTCAAAGTGGAGGTGATAATGGGCAAGAAAGGGAAAGGCCTTTCCTGGCGGGGACACAGTGAGAGGCAGGGCGCCGCAGGCTAGGAGCTGAGGGCGCCGGCACCAATCTTGCCGGCCTGTGTCCTGGGCTTGGGTGGCAGAGGTCGCCTACACGCCCAGCCTGTCCCTTTTCTCGCCACCTTCGCCCTGGGAATCACAGGTTACTTTCAGTGCACTGTGCCCACGTGTCCTCTCCCCCACTGCCGTCCCCATCCCCACCCCAAGCCTGGCCCTGCTGCTGCTGCCTGGTTGGGGCCCCAGTTGGGACAGCGACACTTGAGGCAGAATTAGTGTTCAGTGTCCACCTTGCCACGAGTGGGCTTTTCGTCTGGTGGTTTCTGGTTGTTCCTCAGAGCCTGGCTCCAGCTCCTATCCCTTGTGCCCAGTATCTGCTGACCGCGAACAGAGCGCGGGTGGCCTGAACACCACACATGGCTTTGCATATCGACACCAGGCCGCTCCTCTGAGGCTGTGTCAGGACTTGAAAAAGAGTTTGCTGTTGCCCATTCTTGAGAAAGCATGACTTTTGGAAAGAGAAGAATTTAAATAAAACTCTGGCACGATTTATCTGTGGGCAATTCTTTGTGTATCAGATTCTAAATTGTGTCTGTCATGATTTAGGAGGTGGCTTTCCGAAAAGTAGTACAAGCAACAATGGTGCGAGACCGACAGCATGGCCCTGTGGTGGAGCTGAACCGGATCCAGGTAATGGGCCAGCTCTACGCTCTTAGATGCGATGGTTTGGGGCCATGAGCCTTGTCCCCTCAGTGCGGGAGGGAGCGTGCGCCACCTGGCGGAGGGGGCTCCAGATGGGAAGGCCAGTTGCTTTCTTTGTAACAGAGGTAGCAAGCCTTAACCCAAAAGCATAAGGAAAAGGAAAAGTGGGCCAGGTTTCTACCACAGTGGTGACAACTGCTGACGTCGGGGTGGGCAGTGGGGGGTGAAGGGTGTGTGTGTGTGTGTGCTGTAAAATGCCATCCCCTGGTGTTTTGGGCTGTGGGGTCATTGGTGCCCACCAGCTGCCTTTGTCCTAGTCTTTTCTGTCTGAGTCTTCTGCTGGGACTGTGAGGTTGGGCCCCCTTTTCTGGGTTACAGCAGGGCCGCTCAGCAGCAGTGAGTGTCTTCTGTCACACCCTTGACAGAGGGTTAGGCTCTGAGAAGTGGGGCAGGTGGGAAGCATCGAGTTGTAGGTGGCGACAGCCCCCATTTCCCTGGTTCTGGGGCTTACGTAGCCAGAATCACTAAATACTATCTGATGGCTGTAATCAAAAGAAGGAAAAATAGACCATCCTGGAATTTATACTGCTGCCAAGTGTATCTCAGCTCCCAGTCAGAAAATGCAATACAAACAAGAGGCGCCCTGCACTTGACATCTGAAGTGCGAGAGGAACTGGCCGTGCCTCCTGAACCGGAAACGGCATGAAGAACAAGCCCTTTGTTCCCGCACCTTTGTGTGAACACATGATTTGTGCCCTGATGTTGGTTCCATGACTAGGCATTCCCCAGACTTGTACTTGGGGGCATTTTAATCAAGATATAAATGCTTGTCGTTTGTTGGAGCACATGTGACCAGGCTGATGGAAGTGGCTTTTCAGTGACGTCAGAGTGTTCAGAGCTGAGCCGGAGGTCAGTCAGCCCATTCCACAAACAAATGGGCTCTTTAATTAGGTTCACAGAAAAGCTTTTCTTTCCACACCTTGGAGCACCCTTTCGGTTTGCGCTGCATGCTTGGTCTTGGATCACGTGATGAGGTGGCAGGGTGTTCCTGGGTCCTGTGCCAGCGACCTGACACGGGAAGTTCAGTCCAGGGCTTTGGGCATCCGTGTGCCTCGAGGACCTGGGAGCCGTCCTGGGCACAGTTCTGTCTGTCTCTTGTGTCGGGCACCCAGGTGCCTCTTACCTCCTCCACCCTAGCACTGTACCTTGTGTCATGAAAATGCTCAGTGCATGTTTGGAGGAACAGAAGGGCCAGAGGACAGACGGGTTTGTGTCAGGCATTTTCAGAGGCAGACAGACAACCTACGACGCATGTGCACTGTGTGTCTGCCCTCGGTCGGAGCCAGGCCTGTTTCCGTCAGGCTTTTACCCTCCCAAGCGTCCCCTGCGAGATGGAACTGGAATGGCTTTTCAACCAAAGAGAGAGCACAGACCACCATGATCAGAGAAGCGCTCCTTCTTGCACGTGCCAACACAGCACGATGCCATGGGGACCCATTGGGGATACTGTCCCACCGCCTGTGCAAGGTGTTCTCTAGATGGACCCAACACAGACCATGTCCCTGGAAGGATTTCTGTGTTTGTTTGAGTTTGGTTTAGCTTTGTAACAGGATCTGAAAATCCATGCACAGAAACAAATTTTAATTTAACTGCAGAATTTATGCATGCTCATTTCTGAAAATTTACAAAATTAAGATTAAAGACAATTAAAATCCCCTATATTCCTATTGTCCAGAGGTAGCCACAGTCAGTACATGGGCACCTGTCCCCGCAGGCCGCAGCTATGTCACCAGAGCCATGTTCCTTCGCAGAAGTGAGAGCAACAGTTTCTGTTAACTGGCGTGAATGGATGGGATGGGACGTCCCAGTGGGAGGCGGGTCTGTGTCTCATCCCTGTGTAGGGACACAGCTCTCTTCCTTCTGTAGCTCAGCATCCTCTAGGGCTTTGGGGGCCTCAGAGAGCTGCTGTGAGCTTTAATGAAATGATATTTTTGAACATGCAGCCAAATGTGTGGCACCTGGAAAAATTAATTCCACAGGGAACTATTATTATTGTCATCATTCTTGGATTTTCAGTCTTGAGTGTGGCAATTCATGCAGTAAGGAGAATTAGCTGTAACTCAGCCCAATAGCCACTGAGAAGTGAGAGAGGTGAGACTTCACTTGGAGGAGTCTACAGAAAAGTAGTTCTCACAACCATTTTTCCTTAACTTCCCATCTCACCTTCGTCTCAGGCTGAGCTTCCGGGCAGTCACAGCTGAGGCTGCCCGTGGGTGCCGCGTCCACGCCGGGTGAGGGCCTGGTGGGCCTTTGTCTGGCCTGTTGCAAATCGTAAAGTAGGAGGAGGAGTTCAGTTGGAAAAGTGGTTGCATTTGGGAGAGACAAGGGACGCCGAGGGTCGAGTTGGGCCCGTGCAGGTGGGGATGGCCAGGTGGCAGGTTCCACTGTGGCCTAGATAGTGCTCCCAGGTGGGCACAGAGCCTGAGCTGAGCATCTGGGTGCTGCTTGCTGTGTGTGGATGACCGGGCCTGGCGTGAAAGGTAATGACGGGGTGAGTGGCCACGGGCATCTCAGGGCCAGCATGGTATCCTTTTTATTTCCAGGTCAAACGTTCAAGGAGCAAAGGCGGCCTAGCAGGCCCCGATGGGACCAAGTCTGTCTTTGGGCAGATGTGCGCCAAGATGAGCTCATTTAGTCCCGACAGCCTGCTCCTGCCTCACCGTGTCTGGAAGGTCAAGTTTGTGGGTGAGAGCATGTGCGCAGGGTGGGGTGGGTGGCCCTGAGCTGGGTGGTCCTTGAGCCTGGGGCAAGATGCCTGCCTAGCTGCTCCCGCATACTTGATGGGGTGTCTCAGCCTGACCATTCTCCCCAGGGGAGTCCGTGGACGACTGTGGTGGCGGCTACAGCGAGTCCATCGCCGAGATCTGTGAGGAGCTGCAGAACGGACTCACCCCCCTTCTGATCGTCACACCCAACGGGAGGGACGAGTCGGGGGCCAACCGTGACTGCTACCTATTCAGCCCCGCTGCCCGGGCGCCCGTGCACACCAACATGTTTCGCTTCCTCGGTGGGCATGATGCGGGGTCACCGGCGGTGCGCCCGCGGTCAGCTGGTTTTGGCGCTGCTGTGGGGGGTGGTAGACACGCTTTTCCATATGCGGCTGCCAGGATGGGCTAAGACCCGAAGGTGCTTTGTCCCCAGAGGGTCTGAGTGTTTGTGGAGCTGTGGGTCAGAGCTGAGGGGTCTTGGCAGTTGACCTGGACCCAGCCTTCTCTGGGAAGCCCTAGCCATTGCTTGGCTGGCAGCTGACGGTGGAAAGACTTAGAAGAGTCAGAAACCTGACCCTTGGGAACAAAAGAAAAAGTGACTTTAGTAGAGGACAAACGTAAGTCCTGTAAATTTGGGCAGCATTGGTGTAGAAGGCTCCGAGGCCTGGGTCTCTGCAGTGTTGTTGATGAAGCATATGTTGTGTCACCCATTCAAGTGTCTCCTATCACTTGTGCTTGGAACGAGCAGGTGTGTTGCTGGGCATTGCCATCCGCACCGGGAGTCCCCTGAGCCTCAGCCTGGCCGAGCCCGTCTGGAAGCAGCTGGCTGGCATGAGCCTCACCATTGCTGACCTCAGCGAGGTAACGGCCAGGATGGGGCGGTCAGGGCAGTGTGGGGGACCCCGCGGGTCCTGAGCCAGTCCTGGGCGATGAGACTGCTGGTGCAGGCCAGTGTGCTTCCAGGACTTACTAGGCTGTCTGTTTTGTGGTGCTTTGCGGTCTTGGCGGACAGAGTTCTCCGTCCCCCCTGTAGTCAGGCCCCCCTGGGGGCTGTCCTTCACTGGGTGTCCTGACCTCAGGGCCAGATCTATCTATGACCAGTGGCTGGTGCCGTCTCAGCGGTTCATTTTAAGGCCCTCCGTGAATTAGACTCTCCCATTGCTGCTGTCCTCCACTTCCTAGCACGTTCCTTGCATTGGTAGCCGCGTGGTCTGCCCTGGGCAGACCACGGTCCCCATTCAGTGAGCTGGGGCCTGGGGTGCGGGGACAACCCTCATTGACACACCGACCCCCTCCCTTGAAAGGTGGACAAAGACTTCATCCCTGGGCTCATGTACATCCGTGACAATGAGGCCACTTCAGAGGAGTTCGAGGCCATGAGCCTGCCCTTCACAGTGCCCAGCGCCAGTGGCCAGGACATCCAGCTGAGCTCCAAGTACACGCACATCACACTGGACAACCGGGCCGAGTACGTCCGGCTGGCCATAAACTACAGGTGTGTGCTCACCTGCCTCCTTCGCTTTGATTCAGGAGGCGGCAGAAACAGCAGACGGTTTGCATGGTGGCTGTGTGTTTTCGGAAGTGTCATGTGCAGTAAGACATTACTGGACTGTGGTCCCCAGAGCTGATTTTGTGACCAGGGTCACCTCTGAGGACTTGCTGTCCTCACCTGAGGCTCCTAGCTCATAGGCACACCAAGGTGAATAGCGTTCCCCTGGTGCTGGGGACTGTCCCAGCAGAGGTCACGCTGTTTGTGTGCTCCCCTTGGTGGTCTGTCACCTCTCCTGTCCTGCCAGCATTCAAGCCTTGTTGCTGTATGGCGGGTCAGCCGTGGTGCTCACAGCTCCCACAGCTCATCGTGGCCCCACCTGACGATCGAGGCCACTCAGCGTGGTTCTCAGGCCTCGCCTCCAGAGGCATCTGGCTGGTGTGGGGACAGGGCCCCAGATGTCAGCCGGCTATACTGGCTGGGCTCTGGCTGAGAGTGGTCCTGGCAGGTGTCCTGTGCTGAGCTGTCCCCGGCGTCCGATGCTGCCTGGTGCTCTAAGTCACTGGTCGTGAGGGCCCTGAAGGTGCACATGTGTAGAGCGTTCTCCCAGGGGGCCGCTGAGCCGGGCTCTGATGCTGTGTGACCATAGCACTCCTGGGAAGGACAGAGGGGACACTGAGGATGGCATCTTGGATGGTGTGTGGCTACAGGTTATTTCTGAGCTTGTCGCCTATGTGTTGGTCTCCATGAATCGGGCCGGGAGGCCACACCTCAGTCATCTGCGTGTCAGGCCGTGTCTGAGCAGAACAAGATCTCTGTCACCAAAGGTCGAAACACAAAGTGAGTTTTTCCTTTCAGACTCCATGAATTTGATGAGCAAGTGGCTGCCGTTCGCGAGGGAATGGCCCGAGTCGTGCCTGTCCCCCTGCTTTCTTTGTTCACTGGATACGAGTTGGAGACAATGGTATGCCCCCTTCACGTGCCGCGCGCCCTGGGGACGTCCTTTTCGTGGTGACCTACCTAATCAGTGCCACTAGCCAGTCCCAGCTCAGTCTGAGACCTGAGACGCCCAGGGAGCGTGTGTGCCTTCCTCCCAGAGTGGGCACCAGACACACGGGCCCTCCTCCTGCCCGTTCTATCACCGCCCTCCTCACACTGGCCATGGGGACAAAAAAGGCCGAGTGCCAGCCTGACTGTCCCTGCAGGTGTGCGGCAGCCCGGACATCCCTCTGCACCTGCTGAAGTCGGTGGCCACGTATAAGGGGACCGAGCCGGGCGCGCCCCTGGTGCAGTGGTTCTGGGAGGTGATGGAGACACTGTCCACCAGCGAGCGCTCCCTCTTCCTGCGCTTCGTGTGGGGTCGCACACGGCTGCCCAGGACCATCGCTGACTTCCGCGGCCGTGACTTCGTCATCCAGGTGTGGCTTCCCCCTTTCCTGGGAAAACTGGAAGATGCCCACTTTGGGCTGCAGGTCTCCAGTGACAGCACCTGCTTCCTGTCCCCAAGCTCACTCATTTCAGGGGTTTGTGTGACTCTGGTTGAATCAACTAAGTCACTGAGAAATGCCGCTTTCTGAGGACAGTCAGCTGGCAGACCGGCAGAAGCAGAGTCCTGACTCGGGCCCAACAGTCAGAAACGGGCTGTCACTGGGTGAAATGACTGTCCTGGTAGCTGCACCATGCGGGGCAGGTTAGGCTGGAGGGTCTGCTATCCCTGCAGGTCACAAAAACTGTTGGAGGTCCTCAAGCGCTCGGGTAGTTTTTCTCTGTGAGGCTAGTGGCCGGCTCTGTAGTGGTTGGAAGTAGGTGGGTGGTGTCAAGGACAGCTGGGGTCCCCCTTAGGGTGGGAGGAGCCATCTCACCTTCACAGCATTAATTTGTAAGATGTGGTCGTCACAGTCACCCATTGCTATTTGTTACAAGTCCTAGGAAGTCATGTTTCTAAACTTGGCTACATTATGTTTTCCGATATTTTGTTCTTGGCCCGGACATATGATGATTTCTGTGAGTGGAGAGTAGTGGACATCATGGATTGTCTGTCCCTGGGCGTCCGGCGTCTCTGATCACCTTGCACTTCTTGCCAACAGGTGCTGGACAAGTACAGCCCCCCCGACCACTTCCTGCCTGAGTCCTACACCTGCTTCTTCCTGCTGAAGCTGCCCCGGTACAGCTGCAAGCAGGTTCTTGCACAGAAGCTCAAGTATGCCATCCACTTCTGCAAGTCCATCGACACGGACGACTACGCCCGTGTGGCCCTCACGGGCGGGCCGGCCACCGGTGGCAGCAGTGACAGCTCAGACAACGAGGACGTGGACTCCTTTGCTTCTGACTCCACACAGGACTACCTGACGGGACACTGAGATGGCCAGGCGTGGGGACAGTGTCCCCACACGCCCGGGCGGTCAGCATGAGGATGGTGCCCCTACAACGCCTGGGCGGTCAGCATGGGGATGGTGCCCCTACTCGCCCAGGCAGTCAGCGTGGGGACGGTGCTCCTACACACCCAGGCGGTCGGCATGGGGCCAGTGCCCCTCCATGCCCAGGCACGGGGACTGCTGGCTCGGGGTTGGCGTGCTGACCCGATAATGTCAGACGTCAGCCTTGTGCGTGGGCATGGTGTGGACACTGACACTTCTGACTTAAAAGGGTCCCCACGCGGGATGGTGCGTCACACGCAGGACTTCATGCTCACTGGCATGTGTGCGTGTTGCCGTGAACGCTGACAGGCGGGGTCCCAGGGTGAGCTAAGAGCCTCCCATGTGGCTGCCGTTTGTGCCCTCTGCCCAGCCCTCAGGGTGCATACCATCTCGACCGCTTGTGGGACACTGTGTGACAGTGAGACCGTACTATAAATACTTCAGCCGATTTCACTATGAATTGGTTCATAAAAAGTCTTCAAACACAAAGCGATGGGTGTTGCTTGAATGCACCCAGGTTTGGCCGTCGGTGTTCCTCGCGGTGCACGTGTTAACGTGTGGGGCGTGTCACAGATCCAGGGTGCTCTGTCAGCAGCCATAGCCCCTGTCATGGAAAGTGGACTCTAACTAATGTCTGTGTCATGTATGCGCCTAAATTTTAACTCCCATTAAATAAAACATCTGCCACAGCTGTCAGCCGAAGTTGCTTATCGGGTTGGCGAGCTCAGGTGGGTGTGCCACGAAGAAAGGATAAGTGAGCCTTTGATACGGAGTTAATTACAGCCATGCCAGTCACAGAACCAAAGTCACTGCAGTGACAGGGCTGGTCCTCCAGACACGGAGTATCCCCCATCGTCTACCCATCTGTCTTCGGTCCTGGTGCTGTCCCAGTGGCCCGGGGGCAGGGAGTGTCTGTGGCCCAGTGGGCCATGGGGCAGATTGTGCAAGTGGCAGGCTATGGATGGTGGGAAAATCAGCCCACAGGTCTAGCGCACTAGAACTTGAGGAAGATGGTACCAGACGTGTTGGTATTTCGTGCTGGGACACTGTTCATTTATTCAGGGACCCCATGCTTTGCGTGAGAGGATCCAGAGAGAGGAAGTTTCTTCCTGGAACTTACCCATGACCAAACTGATGGATCTCCAGATTAGCATCCCCCCTTTTTTTTTAACTTGGCTCCAAATTTCCATAAGCTGGGAGGTTTTGAATCACCAGCCCTTTCATTGTTAGTCAGTTTTGCTGCCGACAAACCACCCCCAAAGTTGGTGGCAAACAAGCGGCATTTATTTCTCTTGGCTAGTCTTGGATGAGAGGTATAGACAATGGATTAGGTGGGGCTGTGCCCCACATGTATTTCTGACTACTCACAGCAAGACAGCAAGTGACTATCACCTCCACCCACATGCGTGCGGTGGGCCAACTCCCAAATCAGTGGCTGGCAAATGTATCCTGCATCCTGAAGCCATTCTCAAAGTCTTGTCTGAGGAGCCCCTGGGAGGGGTGACCACGAGGTCCTCTTTCTTCCCGACCAAATTTCCTTCCCATCTTTCGACCAAAACAGCATGTTGTAACACGTGGGCTGCAGAAGCCACATAGTAAAGAGATTGATAAAGATGTCAGTGCCATCCTTCTCATGAATTTTTTTGTTATGGAAAGTTAATTTTTCAAAACAGTATGCATGTTAATAAGCAGTGGGTTTACCTTTATTTTCAAATGAATGTATATTGTAAACATTTTCAGTTTTAATTTTCAGTATGGTACTATTGAGAGGGAGCCCAGATAAAAACTCCTGAGCATCCTAAAGAGCTCTTAAGTGAAAAAGGGTCTGGAGACCAAATCTGCTGCAGAGGGTGGACCTGCAAATTCCCCCAGGGGTGGTATGACCTGGCCTGCCACACCAGTGCTACCTGCACTGTCCCCGAAGCAACTGCCTAAGGCAAATGCCTCAAGAGCCCTTTTCTTTTAAACTTCAGAAATAGTGGAGGATTATCTATTCTACTCACACACAAAAAAAAGGGACTTTGATTTTCATGGTAAGTTTTTTTCGTTTTTTTGCCCAAAACAAATCTCTAGGACAGTTACATATCATTTTCAATTTAATTTTTTACTCATCTGATGAATGAAGACTGAAGTTATATCCTCATGGAAGTTTGAAACTTGTGCGACAGGACCTATGGAAAGGTCAGCTGGGAAAGATGGCCCATCTGTGTTGGGGACTACAGGACTGCAGTCACGCTGAGGAACGCCCGGTAACTATTGGCAGGTCCCACCTTACTTTGAATTGTGGGTTAATCCCTTCGGAGGCAGGTAGGTAGTGTGATGCATCATGTTTGTTTTTCTACCAATAAAAGTGGCCTGGCTGTGTTGTTGCAGGGGCCCAGGTCTGGCAGACACATCTCGTCACCCACAAGTGGCATAAGGGAAGGTGGAGGCAGTACCTGGCCACGTGTCCAGTGGACTGTTCTACTGGGTGTTCATTTTCATCAGCATGAAATAGCCTGTGGTCACTGTGACCACTGGCTTCTTGGGTGGTTAACTGGAAACCTCAGGGTTAACTGGGACTCTGGGAATTCCAGAGAGCTTGCTAAGTCCATGCACGTGTCAGCTGCCCTGACCCAAGACTAGCCAAGACACTGTCAAATGGGGGCCCCTGGAGAATCGGGAGGAGTCTGAGAGTGACATTGCTTTTGAAATGTGAGACTGAGAGGGAGAGCTTTTCACAGGTGTAACCTTGGCAACAGCTCTAGGCTGGACGGGGACAAGCCATGAGGAAATGAGGAACGCTGGTCAGGTTCACCAGCTCGAGCAGACAACATAAAATGCAGAACATAACAAAGTAGGCAGAATGTTCCGTGGGCTGGCGCATCCCAGTTTAACGAGTGCCCGTCCGCCTTCCCAAAGCAGAGTTTGAAGTGGGCGCGGCGCGTGGAGGCCGCCTGTCACCGGCAGTCCCTCTTCTGTCCCTCATTCCTTGGGGTAGGTCGGTCCCCTCCGGGTCCTGCGGCCGCCTGGGGGCGTGACTGGTGCCTTTTGGGGGCGTGGCCAGGCTGGGGACAGCGCCCCCGCGGGCGCCCACAGAGCTCGTGCTCCGGACAGCGCTCCGCTGGGCATTTGGCGCTGGCAGTCCCGACCTTACACTTCGCTTGCGGATAAAGCGCGTTTCCAGGTGGGTCGCGGGAGGCAAGAGGTGAGAGCAGGCAGGGTTTTAATAAGCTTGTGTCGGGTGGTCGCTCTGCGGGGCGGAGCTGGGAAAACTGGTGCACACACGTGGAAGCCTGAGCCGCAGGGTGACGGACGCAAGGGCAGCGGCTCCCTGGGGAGGGTCCCGGGTGCGGATGCAGGATGCAGCAGAGGGAGCCGGAGTCCGCAAAAGCCCGCATTCAGCTCGGCCTGCGGGCCGCTAGGCTCCTCGCGCGGGCCTCGCACGCAAGCGCGTGTCAGGCGCTTCTGGGAACCGAATGTGCGGGCGAGAACTTTAATCCCTCAGCGCCGCTGCTTCTTCCTGCGCCACCCACAGTAGAATTATGTGGACTTAATGTCGCCAGCTTTTCCCAGGACATGGCTGGGTCAGGGGGTGCCCCCCTTTCCCTTGCATAGGGCCAGGCTGCGTGGGAAGCTCCCAAGGAAGTCGTCGGGCCCTGATTTAGGGCAGATGATAACTCCGCAATGTGCAGTGATTCCGAGGGAGGAAGGGAGAGCAGGAGGCTGCTCTGTGGGCAGCAGCTCTGCTGGGAACACAGGCAGTCTGCTGTCACCTAAGGCACCTAGGAAAGGCCAGCCTGTTGGGGGTGAGCATGGGTCTCTGTCCAGGTGGCTGGGGCAAGGTGTGGGGTGATCTTGCATGCTTGGGGCTGGAGAGCATGCATGCATATGGCATTCCAACTCACGAAACTGCTAATGAGCAAAACTCACCAGAAACAACAGGTGAAAGCTCTTAGCCAGCTCTACAGGACACAAGCTGCTTGTGGTTGAAGATTTAGTTTACACCTCAGTGCAGTTCACATCACGTGTAAAGTGGGAGTGATTTAGCAGCATAAGTTACCCAAGTTTTATCACACTGATGAAAAGCAAATGATGACATTGTGAGAAGGCCACGGCACCCTGGGGGCTTAGCTGAGGTTTGGGATTGTCAGGAATTATCGAGGAGAGGGTGGCCCTGGCTGCTGCTGGAAACCCAGCAGCGCCCACAGCTGACACACCCCGGACAGGTTTTAAGCCAGAGGCCAGGTAGTCAGATATGTGTTCTGGAAAGCTCACTATGGCTGGGTGGTAGGGAGCAGCTGGCGGGCTGGAGAAAGCCCCTGCTTAGTCCTGCTGTCTGACAGCTGGCTGCACAGCCAGGGCAGGGGAGAACTTCATAGGTGAGGGGTCTGCAAGGTGGGTGGGTCATCAGGGGACTCGGGGTTTGTTATGGATGCACCTGGATGCACAGGGCACTGAGGAAGGGCCAGGAACGGCCTCAGGACATGAGGGGGGTGGTGTGTTTGGGCACCTTTGAGACATCAAGGGAGACAAGAAGGCAGCTGGACACAGTGGTCTGGGCTGCAGAGGGGACCTTGGGGATCATCTGTCCACGGATGAGCACCTCGCCCGCTGGTTGGATTTTCCGGAGTTTTGATGCTGGACATTGTCATTGTTGTCACTTTGCGCTCCTTGGCCGGGCGTGGAGGCTCGTCCTTGTCCTTGTGGTCTCTGCCCCCCACACTCCCACTCCCATCCCCCGCACCCTCAGGAAGCCTGCTTCTTTCGCTGGCCGTGCGCGGTGAGACCAGCGGTCGGGCCATCACCTGCTGCCCACCGCATGGGACCAGGCGCTCTCCGTAGGGGGCCGAGCGAAGACTGGAGCCCTAGTGCAGGTCTCTTGTTTCGGGGAGCAAAGAACAGTTTCCAAACTGGTTTTCAGGACGGGTGAAAGCCAACAACACGGCGACACAGAAATAAGCGAAAGAACTTGAAGTGAGGGAGACAGAGCCGATTCCTCCCCGCACGCGGGCTGGCGGGGTGCCTGGCAAGTACGCTGGAGAGCTGGGGCTTCTAGGCAAAGCCCACCGCGGCCTTCCCGCACAGCCCTCCTCCTGCCTCTTCTCACAGGCTGGGAGGAAACGACTCTAAAACGAGAAAAGGGATCTCAAACCGTGCTGTTTGGCTGAATGTTTTAGAAGCTTTTAACCAAGCTCACATGGTGCAAAACCCATCTGCGGTCTGTGTCCTGGCTTGCAGAGGGCTGAGGGCACAGCCCCCTGCGCTTCCTGGGCGGGGACACATCGGCCTCTGCGCAAGGCCGGCTGAGGAGGAGGCTGACCCGGGACCTGGTCTCCTCCGGCCTCCTGAGCCCCAGCGACTGCGCCTGCCCTTTCCCTGTGCTTCATCAACTAGAAAGAGCGCCCAAAGCACTAAGGAGACAGTTGGGTCACAGACACACCCACGCCCACAAGACAGCCACGCACCCAGGACACAACCATGCCCTGGAAGGCAGGACCACGCTCCCAATAACACAGACAGGCACTCGGAGAAATGACCACGCCCTCACACCGGCAGTCGCGCCCCCGCGGGTAGAGCCACGCCCCTGCGGACAGGGCCACGGCCCCCCTGCCCCCCCACTGCCGATGCAGCCACAGCCCCGTGGACTCAGCCGCACGGACAGTCTGGCCTGAACAACGTTTTACGTGGAGAAGAACATTCGATGACCTCTTACGTGGAGAAGAACATTCGATGACCGGGCTGTTTTCTCAGGGCTGTAAGAGGAGAGAATTGACTGGCGTGATTTCTTTCTAATAACGTTTTCAAGCAGCCGATAGACCTTTTTCTTCCTCTCCTTTCATTGTTGCATTATGTCAAACGACTAAGGAGCTCGAAAGACAGTGTAGGTGAAGGGCCTGCAAGGCGAGTGGGTGGGACAATTTGCAAAGAAACCCTTTTCCCAACGATATGTGAGGCCGCTAAGTTCGCGCTTCTGTAGAAGTGACACCAGCCTCGCCTGCATAATTCAGCGGGCCTACTGGTGTGGCTGCGCGGGAAAAGGCGCCGCGTCTCCAGGACGGGCCACGTGCCTGCCCGGCTGCAGGGCTGCGGGGTACCGCGGGCAGGTTCCTGGGGCCTCCCTCGCGCTCCCGCCTGCACACGTTCATTAGCACCGAGCCTGGGCTCTGCTCCATAAATGCCAACAAACCCCAGCCAAGTCCTGACAGAGACATCGGGGAGGGCTGGGGTGTGGACAGCTGCACCTCCCTATTCTTACACTTCACTCGGCCGGCCATCCCTCAGGCCCAAGAAAAGGCTACGGGACAAAGACCAAGTGGAGAAGGGCCCAGAGACAGACCACCCGCCTTCCCGGGCTGGGGCAGATAGGCCACCGCCAGTGCCCCGTCCCTGTGCGCTCTCCCCTCCCCCCACCACCACGCTTGCACCAGTGCTGTGGCCCCAAGAGCCCCTCCATCACACCCTGGGCGCGTCTGCGGGAGGAGCGGCGAAGGCGAAACAGCGTCAGCCTGGAAACAACTCAAATGCTTTCATTTCACTTTTCAACACAATCACATTCTAACAACGCTCTGTCTTCTGCTTACTGATGAGAAAGTCATCATTTTTAACATACGCAGTGGGTTAAGGCAGGGAGATCATAATAGAAAGGATGTAAGACTTCCTTGGTCATTTGGGTTTCTTCAAATGCCATTGCCTTTCTGTTTGAAGTAAATTCTGATTCCACCAGAAACTGTGGCTTCACCGACTGTTAGCGCCCCCTCTTACTCAGTTGTGAATATAAGCCACTTACTTGTACTTGCTTTGAACTCCCCCTGTCCTCTGTCTTCTTGAATTTGTGATCATGGGGCATTTCCAGTCTCAGTGTGAATTAGGTGACAAGGAGTGGTGAACCCACAAATTATACTCAGCCCGCCCACCAGCACGTGCATTGCTTCCCAATGCTGCAAATCCTACCCAACCAAGGCTCACAGTGATTCCTGGCTTTACAGCAACACTTGACAGCAAACCAAAAGTCATTGCTGAAGTTGTGGGATGCTGCCAAATGTCAAAAAATTAAATGGCAATGGTTTGAAATATAATCCAAAAAGTAGGGCATGATGACCTTACAATTATAGTAATTTTTCTCATTGTTATAGGTATTATTATTTTCTCATTACAAAAGTATTATTTTGCTAGATACAAAAACTGGTTAAAACCATAGCATAGACAGAGACGAGGAGAAAACCCCAATCATCTTTTCCTCCACCACCCACAGGTAGCCACGTTCTGGTGGCTGTGTCTTTTTGGTCTTCTGTTCTACGCATATTTATTTCAAGAAAAATACCCCGGTATCAACATTTCCCCCAGATACTTAACAATTCCCAGTACCAGTCAATATCCCTAGAACATTATTATGGTTGCACAGCATTTCATACTTTGCACAGATCACAACTTACCTAAGTAATGCTCTGCTGTTGAATATGTAGGTCCCTTCTGATGGAAATGTGCTAAAATGTTCATCCTTGGAGATGAGCAGACACTGTTTCCTGTGTGGTATTAGAACGCTGGGACACTGGAAGGGCCTCATTTTAAGAGGCCTTCCTGTCATGCCGTTCAGAAGCCTGCACCCCCAGAGTGTGTGCTTTAACCAATAGCGGCTTCTTTCTGGCTGACCCCAGTGAGAAGAGTGGCAGCAGGACATGCACCTAGAGAACAAAGGTGGCAGGCTGACCTCTGGTGTGCTGGAGATGGAGCTGCATCAGACTTCGGTTCCCACGAGTGCTGGCCTCGGAGGGCCAGTGCTGGAGGGACGCAGCAACCGCAGGCCCCAGCACGGAGTCAGCAGAGCAGACCCCCCGAGCCCTGACCCCAGTGGGGTGGCCGGACAGAGCTGCTGGGCTCCTGTGGACCAGGATTTTGGATCATTCCTCACAGAGCGGAGGTGAGTGTAAAATAGTTTTAACTTGTAAAGTTGGAATGCACAAATATTGGATTTCCATGAGGATAGTTCCCCTACACATTTTTATGGGAAAGGTTTCCAGATATTATGCAAGAATCTTTCCAGCATTACATCACTTTCCTGGCCTCTAGAGCATTATTATGGTTGAATGCTATTTCTAAAATGTGGCTAACATATATCCAAAAAAATAAAAATAAAAATAGATATGGGAGTTTTACCTTCAAGACTTGGCATTTACTATATTATTTAAGGCATTAAAAGTGTTACATGAATTTAAAAGCACCATATATATACATATATATATATATATATGTATATGTATATATATATATATATATCTTAGAACATGTTTTATTTCTGTAAATATATCAAATGAACCAATTGGATTTACATAAAAAGAAAAACTTTTTTTTTTTAATTGGGGAATTGGGGGATGGGAACAGTGCTGGGGAATCGGGGGAAGGGGAACAGACAAGTTGCTGTCCTTTTGTTCTTCAGTCTAGTTGTGGAGGATGTTGCTTCACTGGCCCAAGTTGGCACCATCATTGTGCTCTTCCCGGGCGAGGCAGATCAGTTGCCGGCTTCTGGACGGCCGCTCACAGCGGCTGCTGGCTGCTGGCTGCTCACTGCGGCTGCAGGCCACTCATGCTGGCGGCTGGCTACATACGGTAGCCCATGGCAACCCACTGAAGCAGGGGACTGCAACCTATGCCGTCGCCGGTGACTCACGGCAGCCCAGCTCCAGGTTGAGCTGTTGTTCAGCATCTTAGCTGTAGAGGGCAGTGTCACTGGCCCTCGTATGTGGGATCCGAACCTGGGCCCTCTGGCGTCCCAAGCCAGTTCTTAACCAACACGCCACTCAGCTGGCCCAAAAGAAAAACTTTTTATCAACCCTTAAATATTTGCCAATGTAAAAACAACAAACAGATATAAAAGTAGCGTCCTATGAGTGTCTCTGTGCACCCATGGGGGATATACTGGTTACCCTGCAGATCTGGGTCACTTTTCCCCACAGGCCCTGACTCACGCAGTGCCGACGATCTGTCATTGCAACACGTAAAGCATCACAGAAATGCATAAAGTGTAGCCTATGGTCCTGCTGCCTGCCGTGGTCCTGTCCTCTTCCCTTCTCCCGGGTAAAGCCTGTCCTGACAGTCCAGCTCACCAATGCACGTGTTCACACTTTCACTACATGTCTATGGATCACTAAATAGTTTACACTCTTGTTTTGCAAATGGTGAAACTTTGGGTTGCTCTTTTTGTTGAGTTGTATGAGTTCTTTATACATTTTGGATATTAACCCCTTACCAGAGTATCATTGGTGAATATCTTATCCCATTCAGTAGGGCATCTTTTTGTTTTGTTGGTTGTTTCCGTTGCTGTGTAAAAACCTTTTAGTTTGATGTAGTCCCATTTGTTTATTTTTTCTTTTGTTTCCTTGCACGAGGAGACATATCCAAAAAGATGTTGCTAAGAGCAATGTCAGAGAGTTCACTGCCCATGTTTTCTCCTAGGAGTTTTATGGTTTCAGGTCTTAGATTTAAGTCATTAATCCATTTTGAGCTTATTCCTGTATGTGGTATGAGAAAGGGTCTAGTTTCATTGTTTTGCATGTATGTGTCCAATTTTCCCCAAACCATCTATTGAACAGACTGTCTTTACCCCAATGTATATTCTTGCCTCCTTTGTCATAGATTAATTGACCATATAGGGGTGGGTTTATTTCTGGGCTCTCCATTCTGTTCCATTGATCTATGTGTTTGTTTTTCTGCCAGTATCATGCTGTTTTGATTACCAAAGCCTTGATATCAGGTAGTGTGATACCTCCATCTTTGTTCTTCTTTCTCAAGATTGCTGTGGCTATTCAGGGTCTTTTGTGGTTCTATATAACATTTAGGAATATTTGTTCTAGTTCTGTGAAAAATGCCATTGGTGTTTTGATAGGGATTGCATTAAATCTATATATTGCTTTGGGTAGTGTGGACATGTTAATGATGTTAATTCTTCTCATCCATGAGCATGGTATATGCTTACATTTATTTGCATCTTGTTCAGTTTATCTCTCCCGTGTCTTATAATTTTTTGAGTACAGGCCTTTTTCCTCCTTGATTAGACTTATTCCTGGGCATTTTATTATTTTTCTGATGCATTTGTAAAAGGGATTGTTTTCTTAATTTCTCTTTCTGATAGTTCGTTATTAGTGTATAAAAATGCAACCAATTTCTGAATATTAATTTTGCATTCTGCTGTTTTACTGGATTCATTTATCGTTTTTTTTGTTTTTTTTTTGGTGGAGTCTTTAGGTTTCTCTACATAAAATATCATGTCATCTGCAAATAATGACAGTTTTACTTCTTTTCCAATTTGGATTCCCTTTTTTTCTCTTTCTTTTCTGATTGCTAAGGCTACGACTTCTAATACTGTGTTGAATAAAAATGGTGAAAGTGGACATCCTTGTCTTGTTCCTGATCATAAAGAAAAATCTTCAGCTTTTCATTGATGAATATGAGGTTAGCTGTGGGTTTGTCACTTACGGTCTTTACTATGTTGAGGAAGTTCCCCCTATCCCCATTTTGTTGGGCATGGATGTTGGATTTTGTGAAGTGCTTTTTCTGCTTCTATTGCTGTGATCATATGGTTTTTATCCTACCATTTGTTTATGTGGTGTATCCCAGGGGAAAATAGATACTGATGAAATTTGTGAATTTTGAAAGCAGCCAGGCTTACATGTGAAGTCAGAGAAATGTCAGTGCAGTTTCTCTTTTCCAGAAGGAGAAAAGGTCAGGAAAAATATAGGTCTCATCAATATTTTCTACCTTGATTAAGTCAGAAAGAAACTACTAGGCTTTTAATTCTGTGGATCGCCATTTTTATATCCAAGCTTGGGAATGTGTGCTTCTTGAGCAATCCTGGGTCCTCTCTAGGTGCAGTTTGTGAGTTCTCTGTCCTCCAGGATGGCAGGTCAGGGATTCTGTGAAGCAACAGGGTCCGAAGGCCTCTCTGTGCTTCCCCTCTTTGCAGAGAGGAATGGACTTGAAATAATGGGAAATAATATCTGGACAGTGTCAACTCAAGTTTAAATTTGGAATGGCCTGAAGCCTCCTTGGGAGAATATCTAGTGAAACTCATTTTATTTTTGGCTTTTTAGAAACACAACTAAATATAAAAAAAGCTTAGAAATCACTCCTGTACACTTACATACAATCATAAAATACTTTGTGTACACAAAATGCATCTGAAATGTTACATAATGAGATCAGCCAAATATGGCCACCTTGGAGGAAATGAAATGTACTTGTGACTTTCCCCATTTCTAATTTCCCTCCTTTGTGGTAATGTGGCAAGTTTCCCGCCTGTGGGTGGTTGTGCTGCTGCAAGCTGTGCGAGGCCCACAGAGGTGCATCTAAGGAACATTAGCACCTCCACTTTTCTTCCGAGGGCCAGTGGTGATCTTAAGCACATCATTGATTTCATGGTTTGGAGAACTGTTTTTAGTCCGAAGCCAACCTCATGCAAATAAGCTATCATTACTGGGGTTTAACCCATTCATTCATTATTAAGAATCTAGATGGAACTGGATACCACCTAAGGTACCAGATAAAACAAGATGGAAATAAGATGGCAACTATGCATAAGGAGCTCACAGTCTAATGGAAATCATTAAATCAATAGCCAAGCTCTATCTTTATGCATTTACATCTCATCCAATGCAACAAAACTGAGTTTTTCCCTGTTAACATACATTACATAGCTGAGAAAATAGAAGCTTAGGGTGATCAAACAATGTGAGTGGAGTCACTGTAACAGCTCTCCCAGAAATGCTGTGTAACAAACCACTCCAGGGACTGACAGAAAACACCTGGATATTAGTTGATTCATTGAGACATTTACCTAAATACACCTGAGGTCCTTTTGGATGTACAGTTATGAGAGATGGAAATTTAAAAAGCCCAAATAAATCTTGCAGCCAGTTTGAACAGATAAAAGTGCACCAGTTATTAAACCCCGGCAGAATTCATCATCTGCCTCCCTTCTCTCATCTATGCTACCTGGGGGCATCTCTACACCTCATTGGAGGCCCTGAGGACACAGCCCTCAGTTGTCTGTGTTCCCTGGAGGTTGTGCCCTGAGGACACTCGCTGGCCTGAGACAGACTCCTCTGACTTCCATGTGATGTGGTGGGTGTTGTTGTACACAGCTCGGGGCCCTGGTTTCATTCATCCATGAGACCAGAGTCTAATTTTCTGTGTCACCGGTGCATGCCTGAATCAGAGAGAGAAAGTGGTGGAAGTATTTTTCTTCAGATTTGCTCTTTGCTCTCCATTTATGGTCTGAGTTGCTGTTCTTTCCCTGGTGAGTGTTTCACAGCATCCGTAGCAGCTCTGCATGACCTGGGCTCCATTAGGAAAGGCCATGTGCTAGCATACAAAATGACACATTCCTAATAATGAGGAATGAAAGGATTTCTGCAACTCTTCATGGAATACTGGTTGCTTTCCTACTCATGTGTCCTTCAATGAGGCCGACCACATATGCTGGTGGACTCTGTTGTGTCTGGGCAGTTACCTCCCTCTGGGATAGTTTCTGATTTGGATAAGTTTATGGTGGCCCTTCCTCCAGGGGACAGGCCAGCACAGTGGAGGGACGTCCTATAGAACATGGACCTTTGCTTTGCTTCAGCTGTGGCTTCTGTCCCCCAATATCCTTCCCCACCGCCATGCTGGTTTGCATTTCATTATGACTCTCTTGGCCCTGACTTCTGCTTGGTGTCCCAAAGGAAGCCATTAGGATATTTTCATTGTGTGATATTTAAATATTGTCATCTCAAGAAATAGAATTTTCTGAGCATAAAAGAGCCCATCAGACAATGAATGGTTTCCTTGATGAAAAGCTCTGCCTGGAATAACAGACATTGCTGGACTCTACTGTTAATTCTAAAATGAGCCCCAAAGTCTCGGTCCCACAGCATCTGGACTCCTGTGTGAGTTTCTGATTTTCATCTCCAATCTGGCTCATGCTGGGAGGAGAATTGTTTCTAATGGTCTCTCCTAAAACTCCAGCTTTTTACAATAAAGATTTAACTTTAGTAAAATTCTCACATAAGATGTATCACTGACTCACTCATGTTCTTGAATGTGGGCCCTGATTGCTGGTGAAGACCCGCCATTTTTTTTTAAAGGTTTTTGTTTTTTTTTTAATTGGGGAATTGGGAGATGGGAATAGTGCTGGGGAATTGGGGGAAGGGGAACAGGCAAGTTGCTGTTCTTTTGTTCTTCAGTCTAGTTGTGGAGGACGTTGCTTCACTGGCCCAAGTTGGCACCATCATTGCACTCTTCCCTGGCGAGGCAGAT